CCCCAAAGTCTAACTGTTAAGCTCCTATATTACCTGCTTTGCTGCTGACTCAAGCGTTCAAGCTGGAGCACGATTAACCCTAAACCCTAAACCCTAAACCCTAAACATCTCCTGGCGGCTCTGCAAGCCAAGGCACAGGAAGTGAGAGCGTTTTCCGGATTTGAATCCTCCCAGCCCGGAGATCTTTCGACCGTCCAGGTCAGAAAGTCGCGTGCTGCCTCTGATGAATGGAAACTTCTGATTCTGTGGATTGGACAATGTAGGAGAGGGCAGCGGCGGGACTGTCGTCATCAGAAGCAAGCACTCGGATTTCATACTCAAGTCTTTCCGGCTCGGCAGAAAAAGATCCAACAAGGCCTCGCTAGCTCTCCTTTGCATTTGGAAAGGCCCAGCCCTGACGTACCTCCAAAGCCCCGGACCTTCTTTGTACCCCCTTGGAGGTATATGGCCCCTTACGGTAGATAGGATCTGATACGGGGGTAAGTGGATGGGAGCGTAACAAGGCCCAAAGGATGGAGCCCGACGAAGAGCCGCATGCGGAGTGAAGTCTGCCTACCCTCGCGCTCACAGCCTGTTTTGGTGCCAAGTTTTGATCATTTCAGCCCGCCCCGTCCTCGTTAGCCATGGCAATGATGTCGATGCCGATCCGCCGCCGCGTCCCTCGGTCGCGTCGGGGCTTCGTCCCGCAGTGAGGTTCAGCTGTGGGTTGCAGCAGAGTTCCTCGGGGTTCCAAGAGAACCCCATACCCCTTACTTAAAGAAAAGATACCTTACATCATAATATATTATTAAGGACCCCACAATTTATATATTCCTTAATTCTGAGGTATTAGGTTCTCTGGGTTTCAAGCGCTCCAAACACCGACACCGACCCTTCGCAAAGTTACCCAGGTCGAAGCTCCGCGCCTCGAGCACAGTAACGTAGGAGGGGCCTTAATTTAATAATTAGAATAGGGGTTGGGGGGCCCGTTACACTATCTTCACTATATACTATATTTATAGTAAGGCACCCCCAAAGTAGTAGTGGTAACTGTTTAGGCCGCTACAGTAATCAAGCTTAAGGGATATTCCGGCCGTCACGAGCCCAGGTGAGGGCCATGCTGCTGCTGGCCCTCGGCGTTTGCAACCCGACTGCCCTGTTTGGACTCTGGTGCGTGAGAGTGTTGACAGCGCGACTGCTATTCGTTGCTATACATGTATTCCTTTTCTTTATAACTAGTAAACTAGTATTCTCTATATATATACACACACACAACTTAGTATATATGACCCAGTATAATCTTACTTTCAAGTTATTTCTGTTGTTAATCGCTATTACTCCTGTTCTTAGTGTCCTTTCCCTTCCGAGGCGCGCTGTGGAGCTTCCAGGCGCACCAGGCCTTCGGCAGCGCGACGGTGGTGGAGGTGAAGGAGCGATCCTGCGGGGGGAGCCACTCTACACTTCGCTATGTAATGTTCTTACACGATACTATACTATACTATACTATGCTATGCTACGCTATACACTACATTATATAGTATATGCCATACACTATATACTATATACTGTATTATACTATATACTGTATACTTTATACTATATGCTATATACTAATATACTACATACTGTATACTATATACTACATACTATACACTATACACTACACACTACACATTATATACGATACACTATACACTATACTATATACAGCATACTCTATACTATATACTATACACTATACACTATACTTCACTATATACCATATACTATATACTATGTACTATATATACTAGACTATACGGGTTATAAATTATGTACTACAATAAATAGTTCTATATCATATGCTGTGCTATGCTGCTCAGGAGTGGGCCCGGGACTTCGGAGCTCTGATCCGAATGAAGTCAGAGTTTCTTCTGTGAAATTACGAGGGTGGCAGATGAGAAAAAAAACCTCCAGCCTCAAGCAGTTAGGGTTTAATCATGCCACAAGCACAAGACTAGCACCGAAACCCCTAAACCCTACTAAACCCTAAGCCCTAAACTCTAATGCAACTCTGGCCAGAGAGACCTGAGGTCCGAGCTTCGCAGCTCGCGTCAGCGTCCCCCCCAGAAGGGTTTAGGGTTTAGGGTTTAGGGTTTAGGGTTTAGGACTCATACTTTTGCTAGTACTCATACTCTTACTAGTGTAGTGCATTCAGGATTGCAAAGTTTACTTCTGTATTACTATTGCCGTCTTGCTTTTACAATAACTTCCATTACTACTGCATTCAGGAGCACAATACCAACTACTATTGGTATCCTAAACCCTAAACCCTAAACCCTAAACCCTAAACCCTAAACTACTATTGGTATCCGTTCTCGCGCCTCCCCCGCCCCAAAGACGCCGTCAGGAGGAGCCCTCGGCGATGGCCAGGGCCTCGGAGCCGGAAAAGTGAGTTTCAGAAAATAGTATAGGGTTTAGGGTTTAGGGTTTAGGGCTTAGGGCTTAGGGAATTTAGGGTTTAGGGCTTGGGGTTTAGGGTGTAGGGTCAGAAAAATAGTACAGGGCGTCGAGAATCACCTATAATATTTTGGGAGGGGGTTCCTTATTATAATTGTAGTATAGTATAACCCAAGAAAATAGTGACCCCGATGCTGTTGATGATATAAGTCCTGCATTACCTTAAGGACCCCAAACTATGGGAATTACTGTACCTTCCTTATTCTGGGTAATGCAGCGTTTATATCATCAACCGTTTGGAACCCTGCGTCATATAGGATCTGCGCTATAAGGACCGCCGCATCAGGTACCCTGATCTTATGATGAATCTCCTCAATGCCGGCATAGGAAGAAAGCATCAGCCTATCTCCGTCAAGTCTGCGCAGCACATCGTCTGCGCGATCAAGCTTTCTGCAGGGCCTTGTTGCAGAGTATTATTGGGTTTAGGGTTTAGGGTAGTATAAGACCTAAACCCCTACACCCAAAACCCAAACCCCTAAACTATAGACCCAGAGCACGCAGAAGAGAAGCAGGTGAAGATTGTGGCCGGGCACCCCTTGCTCGTGTGCTTCCTCGTGATGGCGGGAACAGGGCTGACGATAGATGCTCAAAATTAGGGTTTAGAGTTTGGGGTATGGCTCCTTTGAGTTCTTAAGATTATGACTTTAATCACTTTAATCTGATATAGCCCGGAACCCTCAAAATACTATTCCTCAGGGCTCCTGAATATGTTTTTCTACAGGTATAACCCGAAACCTTAGGACCATGCCTTCGGGATCTAAGTAGTTTGCATCTTTCATTACAATATGTACCTATAGAGGGACTTCTCTAAGGCCACAGTGTATTAACAAGTTATTCGGGTAATATAGGAGCCTAGATAGTTACCTACACTATTTTTGTGGGTTCCTTCTTATAACTATAGTGCCATGTGCCCCAAAACCCAATTCTAATTCTTAAGGGCCCCTATAGTACATGGACCCATGCTTCTTTGTCTCTATGGACTATGGTTGCCAAGCTCCGGGATCCGAACTGCACGTGTATCGAAACGCTACCACAGAAACATTTGCAGTGTTATTGTTACCAGTATTATTACTATTGTGATTATTTTATTGCCGTTCCTAGTTGTGCTATTACTGTGGGATCCTTCTTATTATTGCCATGATTGCTGTTGCTATGCTTTTTTCTTCTTCTGAGCAGTACCATCGCCAGTACTGCCGTCAAAGTGCTACGAATAGCATCATTAGCGTTACTGGCATCATGCTCGTTGGATGATAACACGAGTTGTTTATTCTCTCTTGTACCTGGTCAAGTCCCTAAACCCTAAACCCCTAAACGCTAAACCCTAAACTCCTAAACCCTAAACTCCTAAACCCTAAACCCTAAACTCCTAAACTCTAAACTCTAAACCCCTAAACCCTAAACCCTAAACCCCTAAACCCTGTCAAGAGCTGCCCAACCCACAAGCTTCCTCAAAGCCTTGGACCCTAGCTAGCACCCAGCATGGATGCCTGAGTGCTCGCCCATGCGATTCCTCAAGGGTTCCTTATAAATATACAGAAGCCTCTGATCCCCTGATATGCGCCCCAAAACCCTAAACCCTAATGTAGGGGCCTTGATAGTTAGAATAGGGTTTTGGGGCCCATTATACTATAATGGTATAGGAAATTATTTAGGCCCTAACATTACATCTCCCTAAACCCTAAACCCTAAACCCTAAACCCTAAACCGAAAGACCACACACCTGAGAGCGAGAATCCCCCGGACAGGTCCTTACCGGAGCCTTTGCATGCACCGAAGTCAGCCAGGCGCGGCCTTGTTGCGCCCAAGGATTTAGGTGTTTTCGTTTGCCGATCCCTTGCGGATGGATCTGCGTCCGTCCCAAATCTCGGAGTTTCGACTTCTTCGAGGATCATTCATTGTAATTGCAGGTCATTTTCCCTTGCTGTTCCGTGTCACTCACATCGCTTAGGCTTCTCCTCCATCGTACACCCTCTGGCCCTGCACTCCCAAGCGCATCGACTCGAAAGTGATCCTTGACGTTGCAGAGGCCACACCCGCTGGCCCGCCTGAGAAGCGCCCGGACTACAACACTTTCCTGCCGCCTGGACTCATAAAAGTTGAAGGCTTCGGAGCTGTCAGACCCTCCAAACCCTCTTCGGAAGGGGACGGCAAGTAACATGGGGCTTCAAGAAGTAGAAGCGTGGTATGTCAATTACTCTCATCCTATAAGAAGGGGGGCCCTTCTGAGGAGAGTTCTGTAAGGGCCCTTTCTTCTCCAGGATGATGTATACTAAGGATCCTTCAAGGTGAGAGGGAACTGCAATGAAGACGATAGATAAGATAACTTCTGTAAGAGCCATGAGGATGATGCAGGAATGCATCCCTATGATAGTCCCTTAAGGTGCCTTATAGTAGTCCCTATAACCCATTCCCCCATTCCCTACTAAGCACCAGACAGTATTCCCTAAACCCTAAACCCTAAACCCTAAACCCTAAACCCTAAACCCTAAACCCTAAACCCTAAACCCTAACCCACCAGACAGGCAGAGGCAGCAGGATCTGATCATGCACAAGTTTCCGACTCGCGAGACGAAGGACCCGCGAGACGAAGGGCTCCGAAGCTATTTGGGGGTTTCCGAAAATTTGGGGTACCTTATTTTGGGGTCCTTATAGTAAGGATCCTACTATATTAGGGTATTATATTAGGGTCCTCTATTTTCGGAAACCCCCATTTGGGTAGTTCTCTTAAATTAGGGTGCCTTTTGGGGGTCCTTTCTATAAGGGTGCCATACTACGTTGGGGACCTAAAAAGGGACCCTAGTGTAGAAAACTCCCCATGTTGGTTTAGGTGTTCTGGGTTCTGGAGTACCATACTTGAATACTTTCTATGGGACTTGTTCCTTAATGGAACCATTATGAAATTAACGTCTATACTTTTTTCCCCTGTGGTCACTTCAAAGTCTAGTTTTGGTTTCAGGCTTTCAGGCTTCTGGAGGTGTTGGTGGGAGCTAGGATTAGGGGGAGCCTTGGGGATATAGACCCTCTCAATAAGGTCCCTTTTAAGAGAGCTAAAAGTAGGAAGGGGTGCCCTTTAAGGGTTTAGGGTTTAGGGTTTAGGGTTTAGGGGTGCCCCTAATAATACTACCTAGTTGGGGTTCAGGATCTCAGGCGCCTGGAGGTTTTGGGCTTTAGGATCTCAGGTTTCGGCCAAGCTCCAGACTTCCAGCGCTTATGGCTGAGTGCATGGCAGTCCCTGCTCAAAAAGGGTGAATTTCAGGTTTCTGAGATTTTTGTTTGATTTGTTGTTTAGTTTCAGGATTTCGATCTTAAGGCCAACGAAAGGATTTCCAAATCGTCAAGTCAATCCCGAACCCTCTTCGTAGCCTTCAACCAGAAGAGGCCAAAGATCTGAAAATCTGCGGTCTTCCAGCAGGGGGCTCTTGCCTGAATTTACTAGTCTAGGGGCCTTCATAATGGTACCCATACCATTTTTTGGGGGGGTTCCTTTTCATGGTTATAGTATGATATACCCCAAAACCCTGTTGTGATTATTATGACCCCTAAACCCTAAACCCTAAACCCAAAACCCTAAACCCCTAAACCCTAAACCCTAAACCCTAGGCTGACTGGAGAACCTAGGGTTTAGAGTTTTATCTTGGGGTGATGCCAGAGTCCCAGGTCAGACCCGACGGTTTCAGCCGGGGTCGGATTTGGGGTTCGGGGTCGAAGAGGAATGCTGACTAGGCTTAGGGTGCTGTGTGGGGGGCCTTTTGTCATAAAAGTGCCGTACTCTTCTCGGAATCGGGCAGGGATCACGATTTAGAGAGCAGCCCACGTAATCTTCGAACCTGATCACGAAACGGCTGTGGGTTTAAGCTCTTAAACTAAGGCTTCGGATTCGAGGTGCTCGGAACAATGTGCTAAGGCTTCTGGCTTCGAGGTGCTGGGATTCAGGTCATGGACTTCGACTAGAGGGGTTCTTGGGTTCAAGGCATAACGACGAGTGAGATCTTGTGCATGCCCCTCCCAGGCTCCCCTAGGCCCAATCTTGAAGCCCTACAGAACGGATCTCTGCAGTAGTCAAACATGAGTCAACCTGGATTCTGTCGGATTGGGTTTTCGCTATGAGCGTCGCCTCCGACTACAGTAGCCCGCTCTTCGAACAACATGCGCACAGCCTTCCATGAAAAGCTGGGGCCACACCGACTGCGAACCGAAAGACCTCACCTGGCGAGTCCGAGTTGTTCGAGCATAAAGCCCTGATAAAGCCCTACACCCTCCTACTATAATATACTAGAATACAACATCACATACTATTACATACGATAATATACTAGCATATACCATAATATACTGTTACATACGATAATCTTTCATAATAGACAATAATATACCACAATATACAATAATAGAGATGCAGCAGCGACTTCAATACCTTGGAGGAGCGAACGCCCCGGGCTTGTCAATTTCTACCACCGGGCACCTTACCGGAGGCTTGAAGCTTCGGAAGGAAGGGTTTAGTGCACATTAGGGGTTTAGGGGTTAGGGGGTTTGGGGTTTAGGATGTTTAGAGTTTAGGGGCGTTTTGAAAATGTGGCTTTTGTGAGGGCCATTTGTTCTGGGCTCTACATAGAAACTTAAAGGATCGCTGATGAAAAGGATCCTTGGTCGGGTCTTGTTTCATTTCGAGATGCAGGGTCCTTTTCTCGGGCTTTGGGTTTAGTTTGAATTAGCTCAAGGAAATTCAGCATGTGCATGTGTAAGCAAGTAAGTGTGGAAGTAGGTAGTAAGTAAGTATGTAAGTAAGTAGGTATCATGTGTGCGTTCGAGTTCGAGGTTTAGCTACAAGATCCAAAATTTGCAAGTCCTGCGCAGCGCATTAGTTGCGTGCCCCACTGCATGCAATGGGTCTGTATATGAAATTCTACAGCCTTTCTTTCTGGGACGGAGAGCCGTAAAAATGTCGGCATGTTGGATATCTGGCTAATGTGACACTGCCGGCATGTGTGAGTAATGCGGTGGTCCAGAATGGTCATGGGTCATCTCGTGTATGATGTCAGGATGACCCGCGGCCCGATGTGCATGTAGCGACAGGGACAGGCCGCAGAACAAGACAAGCAGTGGTGGAACTTCTGAACCTTTGATACACTCACCCTTAAACCCAGACAACCCCAAGTCTACCTTTGATACCTCACCCTTAAACCCAGACAACCCCAAGTCTTGTTTCCAAGCTTGAAACCCTCGAGCCCCCAAACCCAGACGCCGCGAACCAGGCCATGCTGCCTGTGGAGCCTCGGTCACGGCAGGCCGAACGCGAAGAACGCAGGCCTGAGCTATTTCGGAGTACCATCATGCGGGTAGATGTGATCTGTCATGTTGCGCTAGAGGCTGATGCCCCAGACCTTGAACCTTCCACTCTCAGCCCTAAACTGTCTTCAAGGCCAAAAGCATCCATCCAGCTATGCACGATGGCTTGTGGCAGTGGTAGTTCAGATGTCTTGGAAAGGTTTCACTCTTGTTCGGTCAGGCCAGAGCTCCCCTCGTGGGAGTGTCCGAAGATCATGGCATGTGCAAGCCCCTACGCTGAGTAGGTATCGTTCCCTCTGATTGGATTGACATAGCTCCACCGCACCCCATTTACACCGTTGTCTGTCCTGCTGTTGGGCCAGAGCTCCACGCAGAAACCGTCTTGGCTTCTGTGGCGACCGCCGGAGTCCTTCTGCTTTCCATGCCTATGTAGTTGGGGCCGGAGCAAGTGGGGAGGTTGTGGTCAGGTTTTGGGGGTTTGGCTAGCCAAAGAGCCGAAGCTCTATACTAGGTTGCCTAGACGAGTTAGACGAGTTGCACAGTCGCGGCTGTGTCGGAGACACATCAAACTGGAAGGTGGGCTTTCGGACGAGAGGAGAAACATGTGGGAGTTTCCGAAAATTAGGGTCCCTTTTGGGGTACCCTAAATATTAGGTGCCGTATTATAATAAGGACACAAAAACGGACCATAATTTTGACAACCACCCATGTGAAGTATTGCTGTCACTCCTGCCGGGTTGGTCCAACGTATTTTCACTCACACAAACAACTACCACCTGCCCTTAACCCGAAACCTTCAGCCGCGCAGAAACAAGTCGTTCAAACAGGTATAAGCCTAAGTTACAGTAGATCAACCGCCCGTGTTGCCAGGCGCGGCGAGCGCCTGAACATGCCCCTGGGTTGCCAGTTTTGGGTTTAGCACCCGATTGAAGAGGTTTCTTGTAGAGAAAAGTGTGCCTTGTAGAATAGAAGACTTGAAGGTAGCTCCTGGCCCAACCGTAAATCGAGACATCCAAAACCTGGAGCGCCCGAATTTCCAAAACTCCTGAACCGCCAGCACCAAAGCTGACCCCGAACCCAAAACGATCAATCTCACCCTGAACTGAACAAACATGCCCGAAAGTCTGGCAAGGTATCTCGCGGAGGTGACACCGCAGTGCCCTGGCGGGTGTGTGTCTGCATTGAAGGTGTAGTCCTTCAGGGTTAAGTGGAAGGTCGGTAATGTAGGTGCCTGTGCAGGAACCGCAGCAATACTTCATACTGGCAGTTCCTCCTTTATTTATGTGTAATGTAAAGTAGCCGTGTAGCCGTTACCGAGCCTAAACCCCTGAACTCCTAAATCCTAAACCCTAATTGCTCGGGCTCTTCTTGTGCCTTCTCGGCGCTTTGGCCTCTTGAGGTTTGCGTTCTGGACCCAAATGAGAGCAGATCAAGAAGTAAGCCTTCCCCTGGTATGTCTTTCGCTGAACCAGTATCGCTACAGACCTTGCCTGGCTTGTCCGAGTGTGAGTGTCAAAAAGACACCCTTCAGCCTGAAACTCCTTAATGCCAAAAAAAAGGCCCTCAGACCCTCCAGGGCCCGAAAGCCCAAGAGATCCAAAGCCCTAATTTACCCTTTTTTAACCCCCGAAAGGGCCTTTTAAATGGTCGAAATCGCCACTTTGGGGTTTCCACCGGAGCTCCCTGAATGCGCAGCCTTCGTTGGCTTTAGAGCTCCGGAGTTCGGGGCTTGAGGGTTTGGAGCTACCATGTTGGCGGTGACTAAACGGATTATATCCGTTAACCCAAGAGGGCCAGAATATTTCGCAAGTAGGTGTTAGAGCCAGCGTTCCTGCTAGACCAATTCTGGATGCAACGGCAGAGAGAGAGAGAGAGAGAGAGTTTAGAGAGTTAATTGGAGTTCGTTGACCACAACCCAGATGCACCTGCCCAGCACAAACTGGCTGTTCTTTGTCGCAAATTGTTCCGAAATTTCTGGACACCTAGAAATCAGAAAGGTTTCCAGAGCAAAGCAAAAGCGTAAACGCACGGAATCTTCTTGATCCTTCATTTCCTACACCCGAGACCCTCTTAGCCCAGTAGTTACTTTGCTGTACAAGCCCGGCACACCCTGAACCCCTAAATCAACTCCGAATCTCAAGAGCCTCGCAAGCCTGTGTAAAACCTCTGAAGAGCTCAAACTACCCTAAACCCTAAACCCTAAACCCTAAAGCTTCTGAAAAATCCAAACTGCCTCGAAACTTTGCGAAGACCGGCTCAGGAGCATCTTCGTGGTCGCTTGACTACACCTTTGGGGTTTAGGTTTGGGGGTTTAGGGTTTAGGGTTTAGGGTTTAGGGTTTAGGGTTTACTGTTCCTGGCCTGGCATATGCGTAGTCCAGGTGTAAAAAGGGTTTAGGATTTAGGTTTGGGGGTTTGGGATTTGTCGAGACCCTGGATTGGAGCAGTACGTGCCGCAGGCTACGACGATCCTTATAACAGTGTTGAAAAGTCATGTAATATATAAGGGCACCAATAATCAGGTAGAGTTTCTAGGGTTCAGAAAAAAGTTTAGGGTTCAGGGTTTAGGGTTTAGGGGCCTCAAACAAGGTAAACATCGCAAGCGTTTAGGGCTTGACGCGTATACTCTTTGGAGAGCCAGATTCTCAAAAGGGTTTGGGGTTTAGGGTTTAGGGTTTAGGGGTCCTTGCCTTCAAGCTAAAGCGGTTCAATCTCTTTCTGGGGGCCTTCCGTCGCCTCTTCACTCAGGAAACTCAGGCCCCCGGTGTTTTGATTTCCAATCCTGACTCTTGAAAGCGCCGCTGCAGAGACTGTATCTAGGCCTCGAGCCGCAAGAGACCTAGCTCAGGGTTTTTGCCTGTACGCGAAGGATTCCTAAACGCTAAACCCTAAATTCGACACCCTGCACCCCAAAGCCTGAGCCCTCAGAAGCCTGAAGCCCACTAAACCCTAAACCGTTCAGGTGAAAAGGCAAGGGTGGATCTTCAACTACGAGGCAACCCTGGGGGTGCAGGGTGTTTTGTGCCGGTGGTTTGCAGGAATCTGATTCAGAAATCTCAGGACCCAAATATTCCGTGTCCATATAAGTAATCGTCTCAGAGCCTCGAAAAGGATCGGTCTAAAAGCCCGGATGAGCATGAAGTGTTTCTGGAGTAGTCAGATCCTTAGATGGCTCTCGATGGATCGGCTCGTCCGGCGGTGGGGGTCGGGATCCGTTTCCGGCAGCCAACGGCATTGGCTTCGAGTTTCCTAGGCGTGTGGGCTCAAGGTCCATCGGCTTCAGGATATAGGCTCTCAGTTTGCAGTCTCGCTTTCCGAGTCGCGATGAGGATGGCACCCTGCATCTGCACCCCTAAACCCTAAACCC